ACTCTTCATGTGAACTGGCCTTGTGGTCATTTGCTTTTGCTCAGAGTGTGTGGTGACTTCGTGATCCACCCCGAGCTTGCTTTGATTTTCTTGACTGGTCTTGTGACCCCTTGTTCTCTCCCACTTTGCCTATGGGGGTGTGTCGAACTACCGTATCATGCTATGTAGGCTGTAGTGGGGTAGCCTATACGGGGTACAACCCAATTTGGGTCATACTTGTATCAACTTTCTGCTTATTGCATTTATTCCTCATTAGTTTCTGACACATGAGCACCACTCTTGCTAACCTCGGGTTCAGTCCTTCGACATCAGAATACATGCATGCACACCTCATTCATGCGTAATAGAGAATATTGCGTATGCATTGCGGAATAAGCATCCATGCGCTAACAATATCATTATGGCACTACATGTTAATATTTCATCCATTTAGTATTATAGGTAGGTACCCATCCATACTAGGAGCCAGGGCAATACATATATATATATTACATGGGAGCTGAAATGTCTTCTCAAAAATATACTACTAGTCACTAAAACAATATTCCTCAAGCTTTTTTAGACCATCTTCTTTTTAAGACTATAGAGGATGGAAAAAAAAAACATACGGTAACATGTCGAATGTACTAGGTTGCTTCGCAACCGCAAAAAAAAATCCCCTTATCGTGGAAAAGGGTACCAATCTGGTTATACTCCCTTTATCAGGGTATTGTAAGTCAAAGAAAGAGACCAACAGATGACGAGAAATGAGAATGGATGAATGAACTATGAAACAATTGGGTACAAGTACTAACCTTAATTGGGTTGTACACCTTATGGGCTACCCCACTACAGTCTATACAAATGTATAAGCTATAATGTTCTGACACACCCCCATAGGCAAAGTGGGGGAGAACAAGGGGTCACAAGACCAGTCAAGCAAAGCAAAGCAAGCTCAGGGTGGATCACAAAGTCACCACGCAGTCCGAGCACAAGAGTAAGGCCACCAGGCCAGTTCACATGCAAGATCATATATATAAAGGTAAACAAGCAAGTGCAGGTATAGAAAGAGGACAGTACAAACAAGATCAAATAATGAGCAAGTGAGGCCAAGTAGGCACAAGACCTAGCAAAGTACAGAAGCGCTGATAATCACAAGGCGGAAGTGCCTTAGTGAATATATCAGCAGTGTTGGCTTCAGAGGCCACGTAGGTGAGGCGGAGCTGACCACGCTACTGAAGCTCACGAGCTAGGAAGTAGCGGAGAGCAATGTGTGACCGAGTCAGGATAATGGTGCGCTGTGCTCTGTCCCGGGTGATCTGCAAGCCAAGGTAGCTGCGCAGTTCACCCAGGTCTGTGCACGTGTGTCTCTTCTGCAGCTCCGACTTCACGTGGGCGAGTCCAGCAGTGTCAGCAGTGGCAAAGACCAAGTCGTCGACGTAAACGAGGATGTAGAATGGCGGCTAAGAGGTGTCGGTGCGCAGAAACAACGACGGGTCGGCTGTAGAAGGAGCAAACCCGAGAGCCGCAAGTGTAGTCATCAGTGTGTCGTGCCACTCACGGGGCGCCTGGCGGAGACCGTAGACTGGCCGCCGGAGGCTCCACTGGGTACCACGAGGAAACGACCCAGTGAAGCCAGGAGGGCGGCGCAGCCAGATCTCCTCGTGCAGGCTGCCCTGCAGGAAAGCTGTGCTGAAGTCAAGAGAGTGAAGCTCTAAGTCGCGCTGAGCGGCTATGTGCAGCTGCACCCGAAGAGTGGTCATCTTTGGGGTGGGAGAGAAGGTCTGAAAGTAGTGAACTCCCTGCCGCTGACTGAAGCCTCGAACCACGTAACGCGTCTTGAAGACAAGCGGAGAACTCGGCGGTTGCTTCACCCTGAAGATCCACATGGCACTGACGATGTTCGCCCCAGGTGGGGGAACCTCGCCGACGTAGGTGCGTGTGGATTTCCAGGAAGCAATCTCTGCGTTCATCGCCGACTGCCACTGAAGGGAGTAGGGACCCTCGATCGCCTCAGCGTACGATCGAGGAGTCCGGATGTCTGGTGCATCCGGGTCTCTCTCAGGGGCAATCAGCGTGGACACGAGATGGGGCAAAGCAGCCGTAAAGCACTGGAACTCCTAAACGACAGCGACCAGCGAAGTCAACAAGCTCAGCAACTAGGGCAGACGCAGCAGTGGACTCAAAAGAAGGGTCAGTGACTACATTAGCAAGAAGGCGCGTGACCGAAGGACTAGCAGCACGAAGGGAGTCTGACTATGGGTCAGCAAGAGTAGGCAGAGAGGACTCTAGAGGAGACTAAAATGGGACACGTAGAGGAGCAGTGGAAGGACGCAGTGCCATCTGGTATGTGCCGGGGACCGCAGGAGGCCGCGGACGCGCAGCACGACAACTAGTGCGAGCAGCACGGACAGGCGACGCAGGACGAGACGCAGGCTCACGACGCTCAGCAATACCTCCAGTAGGACCAGTGTAGGGAGAAGGAGCAGGTAGCGGGGAGGCAGGCTGTAACTGTGACTGCGACTGGACAGGCTGCGACTCTGAGGGAGGAGCAAGACCAGGAGAGGGCGGGAGACCAAAAACCTGCTCTAAGAGCGGAACGAAGTACGGCCTTGGCCGCTCAGCGCCTTCAGAACCACCAAGGACGGCACAAGTACCCCCAGCGGCAGCACCAGTGCCAGCAGCACCTCCAGCTCCAACAGCGCCAACTCCAGTACCCTCAGAAGCACCAGCGCCAGCAGCACCGCCAGCACCAACATCCCCAGCAGCTCCAGCTCCAGCAGCACCAACTCCAGTAGGACCGTCAGCACCAGCAGCCTCAGCAGCACACCCAGACGCACCAACACCAGTAGAAACACCAGCGCCAACACCCCCAGCAGCTCCACCTCCAGTAGCACCAGCACCGCTAGCAGCTCCAGCAGGACCGACTCCAGTAGCTCCAACAGTACCCCCAGTCTCAGCAGCACGTCTCCAACGGCGGGCAAACCACTCGCGCAGCTCCTGTGGAGAGAGCGGCTCCCGCCTCAATGAAGCACCGCCGGCGGCCAGACAAACAGACCCAGCACCCCCAGACTCCGCACCTCCAGGCTCAGCACCTCCTGGCTCAGCACCCCCAAGCTCAGCACCCCCAGACCCAGCACCCCCTGGCTCAGCGACCCCAGTCTCAACACTCCCAGACCCAGCACCCCCAGACCCGGCACCCGCAGGCTCAGCATCTCTAGCAGCACCAGAGTCAACAGCTACCTCGACATGCTCGAGTGCGTCTACCTGGGACACACCTGACGGGGCAGGACCCTGAGGGGGGAGGGGTCTACATGGGGAGGACCTGGCGCAAGGAAGAGCGGCGGCGGGGGGAGGGGCGCAGTGCGGTAGGGGAAGAGACGGTAGTAAGGCACCGACTCGTCAAAGGTGACGTCCTGGGAGGACAGAACACGTTGCGAGGTGGGGTGGTAAAAGTGCTACCCGGGCGCGTCAGGGGGGAAGCCAAAGAAGACGCAGGGAACTGCACGGGGGGACATCTTATGCGCAGACAAGTCGCGGACAAACGCCTGAGATCCCCAGACCAAAAACGCAGACGCATCGCCAACCTTCCCTGTCCACCGCAAGGCGGGGGAGGTCTCTGGCAAGGAGACCCAGGGCTGAAGGTTGAGCTGATGCGCGGCGTACTGAACCGCAAACGGTCACAGAAAATGGGGGGCAGCCACATGCATCATGGACGTACGAGCGACGTCCATGACCATGCCAATGCGGCCCTCAGCAATCCCATTTTGCTGTGGAGAGGCCGGAAGCGTGAAGGTCTGGCGGATGCCCTTTGCACGACAGAGTGCTCCTAGACGGGCAGAGGAAAACTCCCTGCGTCTGTCCGAGTGCAGACGCAGAACAGGAAAGTCTGAGCCGAAACTCCCTCTGAGTTGGAGACGAGCTGCGCGGATCTAGTCAATCAACACCTCAGTGACGTCACTCTTGCTGCACAAGAGGAGGACTGTGGTGTAACGCGAATAGTCGTCAACCACCAGCAGAAAGTACCGCTCTCGCACCTGCCCACTAACGCGGGCTGGGCCTCACACGTCCATGTGGAGAGTCTGCAGCGGAGCCTCTGTCAGAGGAAACTCGGAGGAGTGAGGGGCGGCGCGCTGTCGCCCCTCGACGCAGGGGACGCAGGTAGGGCCAGGCCCCGGAGGAAGGGGAGGGAGAGACCGTGGGAGACCAGAGACAAGGACACGGGAGGCCATGCCTCGGAGACGAGACAAGGAGGGGTGACAAAGGCGGTGGTGCCAAAGGAGAGTCTGGTGGGACAGTAGACGACACGAGCAGGGGGCAGACTCAGGACCAGACCTGGACGCCGCAACAAACACCTGACTCGACGCAGCTACCTGGCCAGACTCAGCAGCAGGAGGAGACTTAGTAGAAAGGGTGTACAGGCTCGACCCTGGCCGACGGGTGAACGTGGCCAAGTGTCGGCCTGTCCGAGCACACGTGCAGTGGGTCACTCGCTGACTCGCAGGAGTGAACTGGTCAACCCCCCTATCCTGTAGGACCGCTCCACTCACCAAGTTCGTAGAGAACGAGGGGAGGTAGAGACCAGACAGGGTGCTAGAGGGGGCTGCCGGGCACGGTCAGACAGTGGAGAAGCTAGCAAGGACAGGACCCGTAGATGGGTCTGCCAAGGAGACTGCAACCGGCCGACTGAGCGGCGTAAGAGTGGTGCGGTCTCGAAAGAAGGAGCGTGACGCACGTGAGTCCAAGGTGGAGGTGTGGAAGGCCTGAGCCGACGTAGTACCTGAGAGAGCAGACTCACCAGCACCTGGGGTGGCAAACTCACTAGTACCTGGGGCAGCAGACGCACTAGCACATAGAGCAACAGCCTCACCAGTACCTAGAGCAACAGCCTTAATGCCCGGGTCAGGCGGTACACAGAGGTAACAGTCACCAACAACACTTGTATCAACAGGATACATCGCAGCAAGAATAGCATCAAAGTCAAGATCAAAGATAGCAACCCCTGCCTTAGACAGATCTCCCTAGCAAGGGATGTCTGACGCCTCAGGGAACTGGCGACGCCACGCGTCCGCCGTCTCCGCTCCCTCTGCCACCTCCACCGCCTCCGCCGCCTCCACTACTGCCGCCACCGCCGCCACCCCCGGTACCACTTCCACCACCATCGCACTCCCTCCACAGCCTCCACCACCACCTCCACCGCCCCCTCCAGCCCCTCCAGTGCCCTTGCCCCCCTTGCCTTTGCCGGTGCGGCGTCTCCCGCTCGGGGCAGACGCAGCGCCGACCGACTCGAAACCAACGAGGGCGGCCGCCGCAGCAGAGGCAATAGAGGGCAAGAAGGGGGAGGGAGAACACCCCTCAAAGACGGGGGTGCGAGGGTCACCACGAGAGGCTCCTACAACGACTATGCTATTCTCTATCGATAGGAGGGCCTTCTCGAGGAGGTCAACGGTAAAAGTGGTGGGGAAAACTGAGAGAAAGTGGTCCCTGATTACGCGGAGAGAGTCAGGGAGTCGGGTGACTATATAGTAGAGGGTGATGTACATGGGGGGGGGGGTTCTTGACGCAGAACTCAGCAAGAAGCGCAGCGCGGTAGCGAGTGTCACTAGTGCGGAGGTGCGTAATGAGGTTAGCGACTGTGGGAAAGGCAGCAAGGTCAGGGAAGAGGTACGGTAGCATGATGCGGCACAGTGCAGCAGTGGCAGGTGAAGAGTAGCGTGCAACTACAGCGTCGTACAAGGTCTGAGCACTCTTGTACTGGCTAAAGTGTGCACGCTCAGTGGTCGGTAAGTGGCAGCGCAGAGCAAGGCGAGCAGCAGCATCGCGCGTGGCCCACTGTGAGCGAACACTGGCGTCAGCATCAGCAGCATGGGTAGGAGAGGCACCAGAAGTGAGGTCAAACAGGGAGAGGCCGTCCGCCATATCGCACTGAAGAAATAGCTGGAGGTCATCGACCCAGACCTCGAAGTCAACGGCACGGCCCTCAGCATCAAAAGTGAGGACACTAGGGGTAGCCATGACTGCAGTGGCCTGGGAGGAAGTGAGCTCACCAGTCCGAGGAAGGAGGGGCCGGGGAGCACCGGTAGAAATAGCAGCTGCTAGACAGTAGGGCGGCTCGGCGGCTCGGCGGCAGGGCGGCTCGGCTGCAGGGCGGCTCGGTGGCAGGGCGGCTCGGCTGCAGGGCGGCTCGGCTGCTGGGCGGCTCAGCTGCTGGGCGGCTCGGCGGTAGGGCGGCTCGGCTGCAGGGCGGTTCAGCTGCTGGGCGGCTCGGCTGCTGTGCTGCCCGGCGGCGGCGTCGCGGGTGACGGCGGGGCCGCAGGTGGCGGCGGGACCGCAGGTGGTGACGGGGCCGCAGAGGGGCCGAAACGGGGACGTAAAGGGGCCAGACGGGGCCGCAGCGGGGCCTAGGCGGGGCCGCAGAGTGGCCGAAACGGGGCCTCAGGGGGCCAGCCGGGGCCGCGGAGGGGCTTAGACGGGGCCGCAAGAGGTCTAGGCGGGGCCGTAAGGGGCCAGATGGGGCCGCGGAGGGGCCTAGGAGGGGCCGCAAGGGGCCTAGACGGGGCCGTGAAGGGGCCGTAAGGGGCCTAGGCGGGGCCATAAGGGGCCAGACGGGGCCGCGGAGGTGCCTAGGCGGGGCCGCGGAGGGGCCGTAAGGGGCCTCGGCGGGGCCGTAAGGGGCCAGACGGGGCCGCGGAGGGGCCTAGGCGGGGCCGTAAGGGGCCAGACGGGGCCGTGGAGGGGCCTAGGCGAGGGTGCGAAGGGGCCGTACGGGGCCTAGGCGGGGCCGTAAGGGGCCAGACGGGGCCGCGGAGGGGCCTAGGCGGGGCCGTAAGGGGCCAGACAGGGCCGCGGAGGGGCCTAGGCGAGGCCGCGACGGGGCCGTAAGGGGCCTAAGCGGGGCCGTAAGGGGCCTAAGCGGGGCCGTAAGGGGCCAGACGGGGCCGTAGGGGGGTCGTAAGGGCGGTGCGAGGGGCCGTAGAAGGCGGCGCGAGGGGCCGTAAGGGCGGCCAAAGGGGGGCCACTAAGGGCGGCTCGAGGGTAGGTAAGGCACTCGAAGCGCTACTCGGGTAGGAGTGGAGCGCTCCGGGCAGGGAAAAAAAAATCGTAGTGGGCCCTAGGCAGCATTCCTACTCGGGAACCTGCTTGATACCATGACGAGAAATGAGAATGGATGGATGAACTATGAAACAGTTGGGTACAAGTACTAACCCTAATTGGGTTGTACCCCTTATGGGCTACCCCATTACAGCCTACACAAATGTATAAGCTATAATGTTCTGACAACAGAAAGGGTAAACAATGTATTTTACCCAAAAAGAGACCAGACAGACTCGGTGGTACTGTACAAAAAAGTACCGTATATGCTATCAAACAAATCAGACATCAGACCTGTTGCTGCTGCTGCTGCAGCTGCTGCTCGTTGTTGAGTTGCATGACAGCATCTGCAATGATCTGTGCTGCAGCATCCACCTCCGGCTCTGTCGTCCACCGCCCCACACTCACCCTCACAGTGCACCCTGCATACCTGCCATCCACCCCCATCGCCTCCAGCACAGACGATCCCTTCACACAGGCTGCTGACGCTTCTGGCTTGAAGGACGGGGAAGAGGCGGCAGGGGCGGGGCAGGGGGGAGCAGGGGAGGAATGGCAAGCAGCACCGGCACTGCATGCGACTCGGGGGAGGAGTCGCGCCATGAGGGTGGGTCCGTGCAGGCCTTCGAAGGAGAGACTGTGTGTCAGGGGGCGTGAAGGTAGGGAGTGCGTGGAGGGAGAGATGGGCGAGTCAGAGAACAGGAGATGGGTAGAGCAAAGTCACCAAAGCTAGGGAGAGTGTGTGTCATGGCAGACTCGGATCTCGCGGATGGAAGCAAGTCACAAGAAACAAGGGTTCCAAGACACGCTACAGCAAGCAGCACAAGGCAATGGAGTGGAGCAGCTAGGGTGCAGTATCAGGCAATAACCGGGAACGCCACGATATCCAAGAGTGCTGGAGGGGACAATGGAACAAGGGTGCACTGGACACAGGGAGAGGGAGGCTGACCTAAGAGTGTTGGGCAGGCGCTGGCTTGGATCACATGGCCCATTCACTCTGAACCGAACCATGTCCTTGTCACCTTCCCCATCGCCCTCTGTTGCTGCTGCAGTAGCAGCAGCAGCAGCACCGTTACTGCTCTCCTTCCCTGGCACTGTCTTGCCGTCGCCCTCCCCTGTGACTGCCTGTGGCGTCACAAGGCAAAGGTGGCGTGCAAGGCCGTGCAGCAGTCTGCTGCGCATGCGCTCGCTGTGTGCTGCATCGGCCAGGAGACAAGCGCGTGCCAGCTCACATGCCTGGCGGGCGAAGGGTGCACACAGGGATGAAGTGGGAGGAGTGCACACGTAAGTGCAGTAGAAACAGGCAGCACATGTGGTTGCTTTCTAATCTCCCTCACACACTGCATTCTGCTGCGATGACTGCCCTTCTTTCCCCACTTCCCCTGATTCCCCTTCCCCCTGTGCCCCCTCGCCTTCATCCCCCCCCTCTCTCAACCAAGTCATCCCCCTCTCTCCCCCCACCCTCTCCCTGGGGTCCCACCTTCCCCAGTCCTGCCAGCAGCACGGTGCTCTCTGTGCCTGCGCGCCTGCCCTTCTCGTGCCCTGCCCCATGCATCAGCTTCGGTAGGTGCACCCCCCGCCGCACCACCAGCGCTCCCACGCCCTTGGGGCCATACAGCTGCAGGTGGAGGGCGGGAGTAGAGCGGAGAGGGGAACACTCGGTGTGAGCCGGGAAGGAGTAGAGAGGAGGGCGTTAGGGCAAAATATGGTGTGTGTGCCAAGTCAATGGCGGGAGTGGTGAGTGTTAGCAACGGCCTGCCAGCAAAACTGCGCCATGCGTGGGTAGGAGCACCTGTCACCTTGTGGGAGGCAATGCAGGATACTCGCACAATGAGAAAGAGTGGTTTGAGAGGCAGGCAGGCAGTACCTTGTGGGCGGCAACAGTGAGCAGGTCGGCACGGAGAGCAGCAAAGTCCATAGGGATCTTCCCCACCGCCTGGCTGGCGTCCGTGTGCAGGTATGGAAACACTGCCGCTGCCGCTGCTGCTCCGTCTGATCCTGCCTCTGCTGCATCTTGCAGGGCTTGTGCTGCTGCGGCCGCTTTGTGGCTTGTGAGGGCAGCAGCGATGCGTGCAATGGGCTGCAGCGACCCCACCTCGTTGTTGGCCAGCACTGCGAGCAAGAGACAAGAGAGAGCAGTGGCTTCGCTGAGGCGCCCAACAGACAGTCGAGTGGAGCACAAGGGGCGCATTGAAGCTTGCACATGAGGGGTGTTGGAGAAGCGTAAGGAGCAGCAGCAGCGGTGGAGGGAAGAATGGCATCAGTGGAGGAGCAGTGAGTTTCGTAACGATGGGTTTTAAGTGTGGGAGCGAGAGAGTGACTGTGACGAAGCAAGGGCGAAGCAAGGGGCTGTACTCGCACTCAAGCCACAGCTCCTTGTGAGAAGTATGACAAGGGAGGAGAAGCGACAGAACTAGGATTGGAAAGACGAGGAGAGTTAATTGCAGTGAGGAAGGATGGAGGGAAAGCGAGGTGAGGAGGAGAGCGTACTGATGGAGATGATGGCCGTGGTGGGGCGCAGTGCAGCCATGACTTGGTGCACACACACAATGCCGTGTGCGTCCACAGGCACCACCGTCACCTCACAGCCTGCTACCGCCCTCACATGCTCTGCCACCTCCGTCACTGCTGGATGCTCCACCGCCGATATCACCACATGTGGCGCCACCACTGCAGCGGGCGCAGCAGCGGCGGGAGCAGAGCGGGTGGTGGTATAGGCGGAGACAGCTCCCTTGATGGCCCAGTTGTTGGACTCCGTGCCTCCACTCGTGAACACCACCTGCACTGCCCGCGCACACACTACAGCATCAGCACCTCTCACGCTTGTCACACGCTTAAAAGTGATTGGATGGTGCTGTGCAGCGGGAGTGGGCGTGTGCACACTCCGCTGTGCTGCGAAGGTGCACTGTGAGGACGAGGAGCAGCGCAGAGGGCGATCAGCACCACAGGGCGCGAGTATGCTCCTGCATCAGGGCGTGGCACATGGGTTGCGGCTGCAGTCAAACTTTCAAAGCTCGAGCCAGTAACCACGTTCGCTGAAACCCAATTTGCCAGTGATGACCAATGCCCGAAGAGCGGCAATCCGGGTTTCGGTTGCTGCAATGCGAGGGTTCCACGCCTCTGCACCTCATCTTGATGCTACGCGTTATAGAATCAGCATCCTGCTGCCACCCTCGCTGGCCCGTACCTCATCCGCGGAGCAGTTGAGCAGCTGCGCCACGCGCGCCCGCGCGCCCTCCACAACCGCGTTGGCCCTCCGCCCAGGCGCGTGCGCGCTGGACGGGTTGCCGAACTCCGCGCGCAGCACGGGAATCATCTCCTCCGCCACCGCGGGGTCTGCGCGCCGCCTCGCACGGAGAGCGGGGCACCGGCGGGGAGATGAGGAGGGAGAAGGGATCCACAGAGAGGGTGAGAAGCGGAGGCACGGATGTGAGCTGGTGGGTGCGGACACGTCAACGAATGCAAAAGCTCCAGCAATGTGAGGCGGCACGAGGGTACTGCCCGAGTCGCACCGATAGGAGTGGTCGCATTGTAGTCCAGGTAGATCGGGTCGCGCGAGGCCGCGTCGCTCTCGACATTGTCATCATCACGGCCGGAGCATTTTATAGAGGCGCTGTCATGTTGGCTATGGCGGAGGGATTCCATGAACGCCGCCCAAAATTCTGAACGCCGTGGGGGTAATCTTGCATCAGAATATCATAAGTCCAACCAGCATTTGCAAATTCCCGCCACATTACCTAAGATGGGTGCGTGTTAAATTGTAACGACCAAAGCCAATGGTCGAACATTTGCGCGTTTCTGGCGATTGCGAGGTATTAGGGTTACGCCAATTTGATTAGTCACCCCGATATGACCGAATTTTAATGGTATTTTATGCCTCTGAAATTTATGCACCGCATTGTGGGACATACCTAGACTAATTCTCAGCAGGTAAAATTTATTTCTGCTTACCTAAACCCTTTGCTTTGTTAAGCGCACTAAATATTAGTCAGATTCCTCGTTATTTCCTATCCCTTTCAAATACAGTGAACGGATAAACAATTTCACGTTTAATTGAGGGGGTGGTGCAAGTTGGGTGCCCCAAATGCTGACGAAATCTGAGGCGGGGTTCGCTTAAGCGTTACACATTTCGCACTCACTTGAAACGCGCAAATGATCGATAATTTGGTTTGGGCGTTACAATTTTACACGCCCTAAAATCGTTGGTATATGTTACTCGTGCACATAGTGACGATCGCACTAGTGAGTCAAACGAGTACAAGATGTTATGAGTTGTAAAAGAGATGGCGCAGATTAACGAATAATGAGATTGTGATTGAACAGACAGAGAATACAATGAAGGCACACGCTAATGCAGTGGCTAGTATAGCTAGGAGAGAACTTCGCGTGAGCGAGGTTGGGTGCAGGCTTGGCGAAGGAAAATGCCTAAGGCAACGCGAGGAGCCTCGGCATTGTTAATGTTGGCCAAACGTGCAGACTCCGAAAATAAGAGTTGTAAAAGAGAGTGTGCAGATAAACAAATAATGAGATTGTGATTGAACAGACTGAGAATACAATGAAGGGACCCGCTAATGTAGTGGCTAGATTTGCTAGGAGGGAACTTCGGGTGAGAGAGGTTGGATGCAGGTTTGGCGAAGGAAAATGCCGAAGGCGACGCGAGGAGCCTCAGCATCGTTGATGTCGGCCAAATGTGCAGAGTCCGAAAATTGGGGCTGTACGCGAAGCAGTCAACTCCGATCAGGAACTCAAGAAAATTCCTTACACTACCCCCCCCCCCCCCCCCCCCCCCCCCACCCCCTTCCTCCCTTAAGAAAGGTGGTCAATATCCGCAGCTCGCTTGCGGGCTAGATAATCACCAATAAGCAGAGAGTCTTCAAGCAAGGCGGATGACACCCACGTGTTGACTTCATTAGTGCGATCAGTCCAACGGATGAGAAAATCCTGTCGAGAAGAATAGGATGGTGATCAGGTCAAGGGGAGGGGTACAAGGATAACATCAAGTGAAATTCTGTACCCCCTAGTGCTAACACCCATATAGCCTAAACAACATAAGCATATATGTTTTGACACACCCCCATAGGCGAAATGGGGGATAACCAGAGAACGCAATGGTCACAAGACCAGTCAAGAGAAACGACAAAACAAAGCAAGCCCAGGGTGGATGACGAAGTCACCACGCAGTCTGAGCACAAGCAAGTGGCCACAAGGCCAGTTTACATGCAGAGTTATACATATAAAGGAGAACAAGCAGTACAGTAATCACAACCTAGCAAATGCAAGCAGGCAGGTATAAGTATATAGATCACAGTACAGGCAAAATCAAGAAGTGAGCAAGTGAGGCAAAGTAGGCACAAGGCCTAGAACACTACAGAAACGCTGATGATCACAAGGCTGAAGTGCCTTGGTGAAGATATCAGCAGTGTTGGCCTGAGAGGCCACGTAAACAAAACGAAGCTGACCATGCTGCTGCAACTCTCAAGCAAGGAAGTAGCACAGAGCAATGTGCTTCGTTCTGTGCTCCAGTCTGTGCTCCTGACACAAGGCAATTATGGCCTTGTTGTCGACGTACAGAACAGGAGGAGAACGAGGCGGCTCTCCCAAGTCGGTCAGCAGGTAGGTGAGCCAGCGTAACTCCTGTGCAGCCATGACTGTGGCGTAGATCTCAGCCTCACAGCTGGAGCTGAGAACAGAAGACGAGCGGGTAGACCGCCACGAAACAGAGAAGGAGCCAAGGCTAAAGGTGTAACCCTGTGACGACCGCTGCGTAGCCAAGTTGTCAACCCAAGAAGCGTCTGCAGGACCAGTGAGGACAACTCGAGCCCGTCCTGCAAGCACGAGCCCCATGCCCGACGTACTGCACAAGTAGCGCATCACCTTCTTAGCGGCCTTCCAGTGCTCTGCTTGGTGTCTCCTGGCCGCCACGTAGCGTGCCAAGATGCTAAGAGGGTAAGCAAGGCCAGGTCGAGTGTAGGACATCAGATTAGCTGCGAATAAAGCATCAAATCCATTGTTTGTGATAATGATACAATAGTCTGCATAATTCAATGGTGTTGCAAAACCACCACAAACTACGTCTCCCAATACATCAAATAAGATAAGATAAAATTGTTAGTAATCAATGCATAATTCAGGTACATGAGGGGCCCACAAGCTCTGGATACGGGCCAGTCGGCTCTACGAACTCATCCGAAGGCAGAGCTGAGAGCGAGTGACCGGTAGGCAGAGGAGTGGACTGTGGTGAGGAGTAGTGGAAGTCGAAGCGCTGAAGGACCTGCTGCACCATGTGTGACTGAGTCAAGGTAATGGTGCGCTGGGCTCTGTCGTGGGTGATCTGCAAGCCAAGATAGCTGCACAACTCACCCAGGTCTGTGCACGTGTGTCTCTTCTGCAGCTCCGACTTCACGTGGGCGAGTCCAACAGTGGCAAAGACCAAGTCGTCGACGTACACAAGGATGTAGAACGGGGGCATAGAAGTGTCAATGCGTAGAAACAACGACGGGTCAGCAGTCGAAGGAGCAAACCCAAGAGCCGCAAGCGACGTCCTCAGTGTGTCGTGCCACTCGCGAGGCGCCTGGCGAAGACCGTAGACTGGCTGTCGGAGGCTCCACTGGGTACCTGCAGGAAACGACCGAGTAAAGCCAGGTGGGCGGCGCAGCCAGAACTCCTTGTGCAAGCTGCTCTGTTAGAAAGCTGTGCTGAAGTCAAGAGAGTGAAACTCGTAGTCACGCTGAACGGCGACGTGCAGTAGCACCTGAAGAGTGGTCATCTTCGGGGTTTAGGGTTTAGGGTTTAGGACACGCGGTTTAGGGTTTAGTGTGGTCCATCTGACATCTGCCATGCTCGTAGACGCGCTGAGCAGCAACGTGCAGTAGAACCCGAAGAGTGGTCATCTTTGGGGTGGGGGAGAAGGTCTGGGTGAAGTCAACTCCTTGTCGCTGACTGAAGCCTCGAGCAATGTAACGAGCCTTGAAGACAGGCGGAGAACCCGGCGGTCGCTTCACCCTGAAAATCCACATGCCACTGACGATGTTCGCCCCAGGTGGGGGAACCTCGTCGACGTAGGTGCCTGTGGACTTCCAGGAGGCCATCTCTGCGTCCATGGCTGTCTGCCACTGAGAAGAGTAGGGACCCTCAATCACCTCTACGTAAGAGCGCGAAGTCGGGATGTATGGTGCATCCGGGTCTCCCTTAGGTGCAATCAGCATGGACCTGAGATGAGGTAAAGCAAATGCAAAACACTTAAAGTCCTCCTGACTGTCCTCAAGGACGTCCATGCGAAGAGCACACTCACCCCCAACGGAAAGAGGACAGATAGACTAAGACTCAACAACAAGACTAGCAGCGTAGTCTAGGCGACAGGCGGAAGCTAAGTCAACAAGCTCAGCAACTAGGGCAGACGCACCAGTGGACTCAAAGGGCCAGTCACAACAGTGGCCTAAAGACGTGTGACAGTAGGACTAGTAGCACGAAGTGAGTCAGGCTCAGGGTCCGGTCCGTCAGCAAGAGAGGACGCAGGAGGAGATGGCAGATGGACACGCAGTGGAACAGAGGAAGGACGAAGTGCCATCTGGTGCATGCCGGGGACAAGAGGAGGACGCTGACGCAGAACATGACGATCAGTGCGAACAGCGCGATCAAGCAACGCAGGTTGAGACGCAGGCTCACGATGCTCTGTAAGACCGCTGGGCTGCTGAGTGTAAGGAGAGGGAGCCAGCAGTGGGGAGGCTGGCTGTAGCTGTGGCTGTGACTGGTCAGGCAGTGGACACAGTAAGGGAGGAGTAAGGCCAATAGAAGGCGGGAGACCAAGAAACCTGCTGAAGCAGTGGAACGAAGTACGGTCGCGGCCACACAGCGCCTCCAGAACCAGCTCCAACATCACCAGTACCCCAAGGGCCAGCACCTCCAGTTCCAGGGTCTCCAGCAGCTCCAACGCCCACAGGACCACCAGCTCCAGCAGCTCCATTACCTCCAGCAGCTCCAGCTCTAGCAGTACTCCCAGCTCCAGCAGCTCCAGTACCTTCAATACAAGCACCTCCGAGACTAGCGGCTCCAGCACCTCCAGCAGCTCCAGCTCTAGCAGCACCTGTACCTCCGATACAAGCACCTCTGGAACTAGCAGCTCTAGCACCTCCAACAGCTCCAGCTCCAGCAGTACGTTCAGCTCTAGCAGCTCCAGTACCTCCAGTACGAGCACCTCCGGGACTAGCGGCTCCAGTACCTCCAGCAGCTCCAGCTCAAGTAGCACCTCCAGCTCCAAGGCCTCCTGCGGTAGGCCCTTCAACTTCAGCAGTACCACTCCGGAGGCTCCAGCACCAAGCAAACCACTCGCGCAGCTACAGTGGAGAGAGAGACTCCCGCTGGGACACGACACCCAACGAACCACCAGGCTCAGCCCACTCGGGCTCAGCATCCCCGGGCTCAGCACCTCCAGGCTCGCACGTTCATGCTCAGCACCCTCAGGCTCCACACCCTCAGGCTCAGCACCCCCAGGCTCAGCAACCCCAGGTTGAGTACCCCCAGGCTCTGCACGCTCAAGCTCAGCACCCCCAGGCCCCGTACCCACAAGCTCAGCACCCCCAGACGTATGACCCCTAGCAGCGCCAGAGTCAATAGCTACCTCGACAAGCTCGACGAGGTCTACCTGG